AAAAAAAAAAAAAAACATAATCCAGGCTTTTCTGTGAGAAATATGCCACACAAGAGAAATGCAATGTACGGCCTGAGCTTACGGTTGCTTAAGCATCTCACCTTATCTTATCGAACGTATGATTTAAATAAAAAATATGAATTTTAAAGAAAAGCATCTTAAGCTTCGATAACAGTAGCGATGATATCGATATCTAAAATAAAGATTAATACGCAAAAGATAATTACATTGTTAACGGTAGCGTACACAGCTTCGACACGAATGTTAATATCGATAACGATAATATTTATTTTACGATTTTAAGATGTGTGCATATTAGGGTGCAGCACCAAAAAAATTTATTATTTGTTAAGACTACTGCCAAATACTTCGGACTAAGATTTCGTTCTGTTGATACAATTTTTAAACACTTTTATGTAGACCTTTTAAGCTTAAGCTCTTCTATCATCTGAGATGATTTTGTAAAACAAATATTTTTAAGAACAAATTTTATTTAGAAAAAACTCGATTTTTTTCAAATTAAGTCCAACTTACGTAATTCCTAATAGTTTTCCAAATATTTTGGCGAAAGTTTTAAAATATAATGCATTGTATATTTCCAACCAAAAAACAGTACCGATTATTTCTTGTATGTAGAGTGATCCTCCCTAATGCACATGAAAACCCTGTTTAAAAATCTAAATCAATAACTGTTCCCGTTCATATACTTGCATAGTACATCGAAAACCTGTTTTAGATCAAAGCCACGTGAGTGTTAAGCTCACGCCTCCGCCATCAAGTGTTTATTCCTCTTAAAAAGCCGATAATTCCGCTCATGTGAAAAATAGTATTGACAATAAAATTTAAATAAATGAATAGAGAAATGTTATTGTCGTTCTGTATAATGTGAATAAACAATGTGAAATCATAAAATAATGAAGGAATACATATGTATGTCTGCGTCAGTGTTGTCAGTTTTTTTGTGGACGTGACTGTTATCATATAAACAGAGATGCTTGTTTGAATTTTGAATCTGCTTCATTGATACAAAAATGCGTAGAAATACCTATAAGGCATACTAATGGCGCACTATTAAAACTCGGAGGTGTGTTTGACTTTAATGCGCAAACAAAAGTTACAATAAAATAAATTTAAACAAGCAAATTATTTGTATGGACAATTATTAATTTTATTAGCAAATTTCTTTAGTGAACTGTAAAATACATATTTATGCAAGTAGAAATGTTTTTTCTCAAAAAAAAAAAAAAAAATAAAAAAAAAAATAAAAATCACTGCTTTCATTAAAGTACTGAGTCATTAAAGTACTGAAACGTCAGTGGTTCTGCCAGTTGTCGTCAGCAATATCGTCATAGTTTGATTTTTTAAGAGTATATGCCAGTATCTGATTGATAAGGATTGAAAATATAAGTATGTTATTATTTATACAAATTCTTTTAAATAAAAATTCATTGCCAAAAATCCACGACAACGCCCATCTTATTAACTCAGTATTTCTAATCGCATCAATTCGAATGTTTTGACATTGTCACATTTTGGAAATCTATTTAAGTACTTGAAATTCAATAACATACTTTTACCTACTATGTATGTATGTACGTAGGTTAATAACTGTTAAATGGAAAAGGCAATACTTATGTATGTATTCTACAAAACTTACTTTCTCTATGTTAAAAATAGTAAAAAAAACAGCAAAAAAACTATGTAAAATTTTTATCAGGCCTCCTTCAGTGACGCGTCCGTTACTGCCTCTTCATATTTGTTGATTTTATTATTTTCTAGTTAGTCTTTTATATAGGCCACAATCAAAGCATTTNTTAACTGTTAAATGGAAAAGGCAATACTTATGTATGTATTCTACCAAAATTACTTTCTCTATGTTAAAAATAGTAAAAAAAAAAACAGCAAAAAAAAATTATGTAAAACTTTTATCAGGCCTCCTTCAGTGACGCGTCCGTTACTACCTCTCTATATTTATTGCTTTTATTATTTTCTAGTTAGTCTTTTATATAGGCCACAATCAAAGCATTTAGCCATACATTTAATTAATGCATTCCACATTATTNTTCAGTGACGCGTCCGTTACTACCTCTCTATATTTATTGCTTTTATTATTTTCTAGTTAGTCTTTTATATAGGCCACAATCAAAGCATTTAGCCATACATTTAATTAATGCATTCCACATTATTTATTTGTTTACTTAAAGGCAAAGAACCAGCTTTGCGTTCTTTCACCGAAATCCAACAACTACTCCAGCAAGGCAAAAAGCGAGAGGTGAAGAGTATTCTGCGAGAGAATTCATGGCCCATCAACTCACCCATACGTGCACAACTGTGGCCAGCACTATGCGCCCAACATCAGACGAAACAGAATATGTTGGATGGTTTCTACTGGGACATGGTGCATCAGGTGAGTGGGTGGCTTAACCCAGAGTAGTCAACTTAAATAGTCGATCGTTATCATCTTAATTTCTATAAGTAACAACAACACAGTTCTAGTATACACTTTTTGGTTTATGTTTCTTCTCCTTCATTACAGGTCTTCGGCACAACAGAGCTCTCTGAAAAACCGATTATGTTACCCGCGTTCGTCGATCCCGCTCACTGTTTAACCTTTCACCTTACTCGCACCGGACGCGCGGTGGCCGATCGTATTGTGAATGTATTAGGCTATGATTGTCCAGATATTACATACAGTCCAGTATTGTATCCGATTACATCGATTCTGTTGCATTTCATGTCGGGTGAGTACGAGAAAAAAAAAA